CAAAGACTGAAGCGTCCCAGTTGTTTCAGGAGATGCTAATGCTGGTGGGTTTGCTGCTGAGTGGCTTTGCAGTATCTTCTGCCGTCCTGCACGCTGCAAAGGGCAGTGAGGAGCCCAGGAGCTGGGGGACGAGGAGCTGCAGATGAAGCAAAGGGGTTTCATTCATCTGGGGGAGAAGGTGCGTCACGGTGATGTGACTTCTCGTGCAGGCTAAAGAGTGAATGCAGGTGGAGCGCCTTTCTCTTTAATAAAAGCTAAACTGCTCATGCCTTTACTTGAAAACGTAGCTGTTTGATGAGCCAGCGCAACCTCCCGTGGGCAGCCGGATTTCCCAGGGCTGGGTGCAGCTAAGGGCAAAGTGATCAGTGGGGCAGGGCATGTCTGCAGGCTCCGAGGCTTTGTGCTGGGAGAAGCAGGAAGAAATGGCAGGGAAGGAGGGCACCGGCGCCCGCAGCAGCGTCGGAACAAGCCGGGAATGTGGCTCAGCGCTGCTTGGAGCCGTGGGCTGAGCTGCTGGGCCCCGGGCAGGCAAGATCCAAGCTGGGTTCTGCACCTTCTCCACCAGCACGTGGGAGCACGCTGGAGAAGTGCCACCCGCCTGCCTGTCTCCTCCAGGCTGGAGCGGTCCCCTTGGGCTCTTTGCCCGGCCAAGCTGTGGGATGTAATTGCTCATTTGGGAAAATGTTGGGGAATCTGAGCTGTAATTGCCCAAAGCATCTGCTGCCCTTTGAGATCAGGTTGGAGCCCAGGCAGTGCCACCCCGGCATACGTGCCTGCGCTCCACTGACAGGGATTTATTACACAACCAACCCTCTCATGTAGCTGCCACCAGGAAATTCCCCAGCATAGCAATAGTGGAAAAACATGTACTTATAATACTGTAGTATAATTCAGCTGGTCAAATAAATAACAACCCGTGTGGGAACTGAGGGTGATTTTTAGTCCATAATCTTTCCAAAGCAGGATTGTTATTAGAGACTTCTATTTTTAAGTACTTTTCTCAAAGCATCTACCATGAATTTTTCATGCCTTTTGCCTGCTCTTCAGTCCCTCTTCCAGCAAAACCCTCCTTCTTTTCCCCACAGCTCCTGGGGTCAGCCTAACCTGACGACTAAACCTTTCAAAGCCTGACCCTGATTTTTATTATTTCTCAAACAAATGCAGTGTTTTTTGCTAGCAGTGTTGGTTTTGGGTGGTCTTGTCCTGGGCTGAGACCTCTTGTGCTAAAGGCTTTAAGGCACAGCTTGTAGTTTAAAGACATACTGCCCTTAGGTCCTGGTCCCGTTCAAGCAATGGCTGTGTCCTAGCAGGATGTGATCCGTGGAGGAGGATCAAACCGTTAATATTGACAGCCTGCTTCCGCCCGGATTCATGGGATGGTTGAAAATACTCCTGGCAGCTGTGTTGCCTTGGGTCAGGAAAGCCAGGAAGGTGCAACTGTGCAGTGGATGTGTCCTACACGGCACGGGACCCCTAAACTTGAGAGATCAAGAGGCAGCTGGGATCCCAGGAGCGTTACACCTGCCTTCACAGGCAGCTTCTGCCCCTCATCCCCATCCACGCAGGTGCTGTGCCAACAGACACTGGCCCTCCCCACTGGGTTTCAGCTCTGTGTAACGGTGAAAGGGTCTGAAATGCATAAACACATGATAAAAACAACTTTCTTTGCCCACGTGGCTTTTATACACCATGGAGCCCACCCAGCACATACAATACCCATGCCTGGGTCTTATGCCTAAACAAACTGTGCCTTTTGATCACTCAATTCAATTTAAATTTGTGCCAGTTGCTGGTGCAAATTGTCCAGGGCTTCCTGCCAGTGCTTGAATAATGCTGAGGAGGAGAAAGTCTGTCTGGCTAGCAGGAGAAGTCCTGGCTTGTCTGCAGGTGGTACCAAGCTTGCG